GTTCGCGTGGTCTGGCTGCGAGCTTCCCCGAAGCCCCGTGCTGACCGAACCTGACACTGGTAAGGAGGAGCTGGGAGAGCCCTTATAGGACCACTGTGAGAAATATTGCTTGACCACTTAGAGTTGGACTCTGGCTGGGCAGGTCCTTTGGAGGTGTCTGAGACACATCTGAGCTCAGCTATCTAGGAGGAGTGTGAATCGGTCAATCCTGAGGAAGTGGACAGGGTCCTCGTGCTGTGAGCTCAGCCACCTGTGTGCTGGACCTAGGCCCCTCCTGGTTGGTCAAGGCCTCCCAGGAGGTGACATGTGGTTGGGTCCAAGTGGTGGTTAATGCCTTTTGTGAGAGAAGGTGGTTCTGCCTGCCTTGAAAGAGGCAGTGGTTCACCCCCTTCTCAAGAGCGATCTTTGAACCTATGTTGGACAACTTTCATCCAGTCTCCAATCTTTCTTGTCTAAGGAAGGTTATAGAGAGGGTGGTTGGCTTTCAGCTTCAGAGGGCCCTGGATGAAGCAGATTATCTGGATCCTTTTCAGTCAGGCTTCAGGCCAGGTTACAGTTCAAGACAGCATTCACTGCCCTTGTGAACGACCCCTGGAGGGCTCAGGACGGAGGTGATACAACATTCCTGGCCCCCTTGGATTTTTCAGTTGCTTTCAATACCATCAGCCATGGTATCCTTCTGGACTGGCTGCAAGGACTGGGAGAGGGAAGCACTGTTTTACAGTAGTTCCTCCATGGCCGGTTCCAGCTGGTGTTGATGGGGCATAGAGGTCCAGCCCAAAGGCCCCTGTGGTGTGGGGTACCACAGGGATCAGGTTTCTTGCCCCTTCTCTTTAAAACCTACATGAAACTGCTGGGTGAAGTCATTTGATGGTACAAGACGCAGCACCATCGATATACTGATGATACCCAATTATCTATTTCCACCCCTGTCAGACAGGCGATGCTGCTGCAGCACTGCACCAGTGCCTGGAGGCTGTGAGAATCTGGATGGGGGGACTGCCTCCAACTCAACCCTAGCAAGACGGAGTAGCTTTGCCCCCCCCCCGGGGTCTGGTGATTTGTTATTGTGACTCTTGATGGGGTTGAATTCCTCCAGACAGAGCTGGTTCACAATTTGGGGGTCCTCCTGGACTCAAGGAGCAGGTGGCAGTCATGGCTAGGGTGGCCTTTGCACGGATTCATCTTTTGTGCCAACTACTCCTATTCCTGGGCCAGGAGGCCTTGTTCACAGTCAAGTCTTGGTCACTTTCCCTTTAGACTACTGCAACACGCTCTACATGGGGCTGGCCTGGAAGATCACCTAGAAGTTAGAACTGGTCTAGAATGCAGCAACACTCACAGTGTGGGCACCCCTAAGTTTGCACACTGGCTGCCAGATTCTTTCTGGGTGCAATTCAAGGGGTTAGTTACCACCTTTAAAGCACTAAATGGCAGGGCCAAGTTATTTGCAGGACCACCTCCCCCTGAGGGTATCTGCCTGCCTCGCTAGTTCCGATAGTGTGGGCACTCTCCAGGTCCCTTCCCTTAAAAGTTCCCATCCAGCGGGACCTAGGAAGCAAGCCTTTTCCATAGCAGTCCCTGCCATGTGGAACATCATTCCCCCTGGGATCCAGCTGGCCCCCACCCTTTTGGCCTTCCAGAAGGCCATAAAGAGCTGGCTGTTCCCCAAGCGTTAGGTTAGAAGGCTGAGGCACCAAGTTTTGGTTTTACTGTTTTTATTGCTTTGGAATTACTGTTGTTGTGAGTGTGGTATTTTAAGATGGGTGGCCATATAAATAAATAAGTATACAAGAGAGAAAAAAACTCAAGAAGTACAGTAACAATAATATAAATTATAATCCAATCAAAACCTTAACATCAGTGGAACAAATTGAATAAACCTGAAAATAAGTTTAATCTGGTGCCAGAATGATAGTGGCATTGGGGATAGCCAAATCTGTGGACCCCAGAGATGGCGTGCCACTGCTAAGACAGCAACCAGCTTTCCCTGGCTAGGGACCCAGAGAACAGTCTCTTTGGATGAAAACCTGGCCCAGGCAAGAGTGTCACCCCGTCCTTCCCAAGAAAGCGTATTTTTCCCAGAGGGTAGAACAGAACAGTTCCCTTCTGTAGTGCAGAACTGAAGCAATGCAAGTTGCTGAAGCAATGCAAGCAATGCAAGTAGCCCAGATTCTATGAGAAGAGTCTCTTTCTCTTCACTGAGTGTCATTTTACCATCTTTCAGGACAGCAGACATGGAGCTCGCCCTAGCTGGTCTTCTCCCTCATCCCTGTGGGACAGTTAGGTCTCGCTTGCAACCTGCACCTGTGTGACCACCCTGTCTTCCCTTCCCCTTCCTTCCCTCTCATTCTCAGGAGTCTCACACTCATACAATCCATGCATAAACCAGTAACTCCTACTGATATAACAAAACCAAGAGACCCATGCCATTCTAGGGGGGAAAAGCAGACCCATCACACAAGCATCTAGCTCTGTAGACTTCTTCATTAACAGATCTTCCAAAAGTTATGGAAGGGCCAAGAAGCAGCAAGTCAAAACCCAGGTGGTGTGGAGTGGGGGGAGTCTGTGAAGCCAGTCCTTGCAGAATACGTGAATCACTTGGAAGTGCAGCCATTCATTTGTGTCCCTGGGTACTAACAGTGATCATTACTGGCAGATCTGGTTCTACTTCAGTATGACTGGAGCATGGCCTTGTGTAAGCTCCAGGCTACCAGATCTGCGCTAGAGAAATTGGAATGACCACTGGGGGTCTATATTTCTGCCATCTGGTGCTTATCCAGATTTTTGCTGGCCAAATAATAAGGTCCTTGTCAGTAGTTCAAGGTTCTAGCATTTCCCAGAAAGAGTCTGAAGCATGCATAGACCCGTGTCCGTAGTTAAGGTGTACAGGTAGTCCTCAACTTAACAACCATAATTGGGACCAGAACTTCCATTGCTAAATGGTGCAGTCGTTAAATGAGTCATGCCCAATGGTATGACCTTTTTTGCCACAGCTGTTAAGTGAATCACAAGGTTGTTAAACAAATCCGGCTTCCCCCATTGACTTTGCTTGTCGAAAGCCCCCTGGGAAGGTTGCAAATGACAATCATGTGACCCTGGGACACTGCAACCATCATAAATACATGCCAGTTACCAAGTGCCTGAATTTTGATCATGTGACCGTGGGGACACTGCGACAGTTGTCACTTCTTTCAGCGCTGTGGTAACTTCAAACAGTCATTACATGAATAGTCGTAAGTTGAAGACTACCTGCACTACTTGAGGGACCCTATGGGATGTCCTGCCATGAGGTCAGGTTGGTCACAAGGCAGAACAGGACCTTCTCTTGGTTGCATCATGATGGCAGATTCTCTTCCTAAGGAAGTCAGCCAATCTCGCTGGTGGTAGCTAAGTGGCTTTTAAGTGAATTTATCCCCACTACTTGTTCTAAGACAATTTTAAAAGTTTTAATAAATCCAGGATCCTACCAGAGCCCCTCGGCTGCTGGCTGCCCGAGCAAGGCATGTGCAGGTCCCAGCAGGATCCATTGTGCCATCCTCGGGGACATAGAGCGTGCCAAAGAGGTCATCCACGTTCATCAAGGGGTACAGGTCTTTGGTCTCCCCTGGAGACAGGACATATGATTCAATGCCAAACACTTTACCTAGCTGCAAAAGAAGAGACACAGGTTAGCACCTGGTACAATTTCCAGAGCAGCTTCCAAAAGTAAAAACAAAAGAATCCACCACAAACAGGCTAGAGAGGTAAGGAGGCTTTGCCTGGTACAAAGTGGGCTGTCCTGGAAGCTGTTCAGGAAAAAGTCCACCCAACCGGGGCATAGCCAGACATGCTGGTTACTGGCTGCAGGCAAAGTTATCCCAGCCTTGGGAGGCCCTGGCAGAAATGGGGCAGCATCACCTCCTCTCTGGGGCTGCCATCTCCCCCGGCCCGTAGGACCTGCAGGCGGCTTGGGTCTGGGGCTCAAGCTCCTCTCTGCGAATGGCAGGGGAGCTTCAGGCTGGAAGAGGTGCCAAGCAGGCCAACCCAGCTGGCTGTCTGAATCCTCGCAATCAATCAATCGTCTTGCTAGCTTGCTTGCTTCGTTTCTGCCATTACAAAGGAAAGGGAGAGGGGAAGGTTGGAAGGTGAACTGTTGGGCACAGATGGACTGTTATCTGGTTCTCAGGAATGCCCAAGGCCATACCAATGTGAGACCAGGAGAGAACCGAAGACATGTGCAAGAGGGGCTGAGAGACAGAAGGGGGGAGGTACACTGGGAAGGGGGTAAAATCAACTTTTGGCACGTGGGGGCTTTAGTTTCAACAGAGCCTTAGATCTGCACACTACTTCTCAATAAACAAACTTTTTTTTGAACTTGCATCAGTTTCAAGGGGAGTTGCTTTCGCTGGGAACTGAGTGTCACCGTTTCTTACACTGGCTGTGGGGCAGCATCACCTCCTCTCCACGAAAGGGAAGAGAAACAGGGAATTTCCCTGCCTGCCCCAGATCCAAACTCTCAAACTCCCTGCTAGGCAAAGAAGCCCCTGGAGCGGCTTTAACAGGCAAAGGCACAGGGGGTCAGGCCACCCTGGAACTGCAGGCAACGTACGGGCTCCTGTCTGTGGGAACTTTCTGAAGGGACCTGGCTATCCGCCAGGGCTCAGAAGGATGGACTGGATGGGACCTTGGGTTTAAGTTCATAAACTTGGTGGAACACCAATGCCCCACTGTGTTGAGTGCCTTTTGCTTGAAAAATGGGATGCAAAATGAGTTTGGCCCATCAGCTGGGCCTGTCTCTAGAGGAGTCAGCGCTGGACAGAGTAAGCAAGGCTTTGGGAACATCAGAGCCAGTTCCTGCAAAAGGATCCATCCTTTGATGAGGATCCAGAATCCGGTGGCCAGGTGTACTGTACAGAGTAAGCGAGATGATTTTGATAGAGAGATGCAGGAACCGTTGCCTAGGCAAAAGGGGCTGAAGCATTTTTTAAGTCCGAAACATCCAGACAACATTCAAAAGCAGCTCAGGCAGACCCCGCCCTGATTCACTGGGGGGGAGGAAGCACAGCAGAAACTGACTTGCAAGAATCTCATCAAAGTAGTTTTAGCCTTCCTGTGGAGTCGATTTCCTGGACTGGTCTCCCTAGCAAGTCTGATTCCTGCTGAGAGAAAGCTATTGGAATCACACTATTCCCCTTCTGTAACAACAGTTCTGGCTCCCGGTGCCTCTCCTGGTCAACCCAGCCTTACTCCACCCCTTGCTGGGCTTGTACTCCTTCGAAGTGGAGTCCTCCTACTTAGCCCAGGGGTTCCTGAATCCCACGAGTTTCCCCAAATCTCCACGATTAAGACATGCAGTAATTCCTCTTGCCCGCGGAGGTGAGACAGGCCCCCTCACTCCCGGCCTTTCGGAGGGACTTGAAGACCTGGCTCTGCCATC